TTTATCAAATTCCTCCTCTGTTGGGCTCTTGACTTTGAAGTTTTCTGTGATTAAATCATCTGTAACATTCCTTACTGATGCATAATTTTCCCCATGTCTTTCTTTAAATGATTGGATGGTCTTTATAGTTCCAGTCACAAGAGGTCATACTACTGTGTAGTCTGCATCTTTTCTCTGTTAAAAAAAATCTTGTATTTAATAACTTAATTAAGATTATTTACCTATTTGAATACTGACATTGCAGATATTATAACATTTAACTGAATTATAAATTATGTATTTTTAAAATAATGTTACCTGCAAGGCTTTTGATAGTTGTGACAGTGGTGGCAGCAAATCACACATCATGTACAAAGTTGCAATAAAGTCAAACTTCTGTACAAATGTGACCAGGCCTAGTGCTTGGGCATCACCTCTCTCCTCGGATTGCCTGTGTAACACGAAGGTATGGCATCAACGGTGAAAGAGATTTTATTCTTCACTTTCACTCTGGTGGAGCAGAGAGCACAGAGATAAATATTTCTGAAGCTGTTCAGCACTGGAAGGCCCAGAAGAACAGGAGGATCTTTTCTTGAACTATATTTACATTTTGACTTTTAATTGACTGTGATATAAATAACTTTTGTGTTTAAAATCAATTCATTTCATATATATTTTCTTGTAATTTATTAATACTCTGCATTATTAAACACATGTCATAAAGCTTTATAATTCATATTGCATGTCATGATTTTCCTGAAAGCTAAAGCAATATACTTTCCAGATGGGCATTTAACAAAAGGAAAATTAGAAGACATGGAATTAAGTCTTACTGGCTTTACTTTAAAACCAATTAAGGCTTTCACAAATCTAGATGGAAATGAGAGCAAGTTCACCTGACTTGTAGGGGCTTATTTCCGTCAAGGTCGTCAATTTGTCTGATGACAAGAACAATGGTGTGTAGAACAGATACAGTTAACAGGGACAGAGATGGATTAGTGCACGAAACAGGTAGTAGAAAAAGCACTGGTGAAGAAAGTCAATCAAGAAAGTATATTGAACGTAAAAGGACAAGAAATCTTATCAAAGAAAGAGCAACAAAATTAGAAGTTAAAGACCAGGATATTGCGAGTATTTACATTAGGTACACAAAAGAAAAACATTCGGCACACTGGGATTCCGTTTCAAAGGTAAATGTTACCGGCAGGAAACAAGCCGTGGAACTACTTTTACTCTCTGATGAAACAGGCGAACTCCATAGGTCATGGGATGACACTGATCCATTAGATTGATTGATTGATTGTTGTTTGCTTTACGCCGCATTAGCACAGAAAGGCTATATCGCGGCGAGAGCTAATTCGAATATTATAACAATTTAAGGTATATTTTTAAAATCAGACAAAAGGTCTTTCAATAAACTAAAATTCTAGACTAAAGCAAATTGATTATTTACAAATAAAAATCAACACTAAGATAACGTGATAAAAATTAAAATCGTTTTAAATATAACAACATTTTTATATTTTATAATATATTCCAATTTCTTTTAAGAATGAAACAATATTTGTAAATGGAATATTATTAAATAAATCATACATATTATTGACATTGAAATGCTTCTTCCGAATATCAGCAAAGTCAATACAATTGATTAAAACATGTTTAATAGTATACTTGCAGTTACAAGGTATACATTGTGGTTCTACTTCATTTTTTAAAAGATATTCGTGTGTTATTCTAGTATGACCAATACGACATCTAGAAATAACACACTGATCTTTTCTGCACATAAAATTATTGAAAGGTTTACATAAATTAGGTTTAATTTCATGTAATTTATTACCATCTTTTTTACTCCATTCATTTTTCAATATATTAAAAACATATTCTCTAATATTAGATTTAAAATCGGTATATGGTATATCACAGTTAGATAAAGGGTCACCCAGGGCATTCTTTGCCTCAAGGTCTACAGCTGTGTTTCCAAGGATTCCAACATGACTCGGCACCCTTAGAAATAATATTTCTTTAAGAAGAATTTTTAAATTCCTCATTACATATAAAATTTTGAGAATTGTTGGGTTTTTAATTTTAGTATTTTGTATAGCTTGTAAGCATGAAAGTGAATCAGAACATATAATAAATTTGGATTTATCTGAAGAAGCAATAAATTTCAAAGCCAAAATTATTGCTTCTGCTTCAGCAGTAAAGATCGATGCTTCAGATGGCAAACGGAGAGTTGCAGCTCTGTCCCTGAAGACAGCAGCAGATGCAACTCTGTCACCATCTTTTGATCCATCAGTATAGACAGTTGAAAAATCTGAATAATTAGCTTTGATTTCAGCATAGTGTTGCTGAATTAAAAGAGGATTTGTTTTATTTTTATTGTGTTCACGGAGATCAAATATCATTTTTGGTTTGGGAAGTTCCCATGGAGGACATTTGCAAGTTTCAACTTGAGCAACATATTTTAAATCAAAAGAAGCTAAATGTGATTTTAAACGTATACCTAACGGAGGAATTTTATTTTCATGTTTTGCAAAAATATCTTCATAAATTGGATTAAAAACACAGCTGTAGGCAGGATTATCTGAGTAGGCTTTTAGTTTGACAGCATATTGAAGTCCAAGCTTCAAACGTCTGTTAGAGAGTGAGTGCTCATCAGCCTCTACATACAGACTCTCAACTGGTGAGGTTTTAAATGCGCCAAGACAGAGACGCAAACCCTGATGATGCACAGCATCGAGAATCTGTATGTAGGACTTCCTTGCAGAGCCATACACTATAGAGCCATAATCTAGTTTCGATCTAACTAGAGATCTATATAAATTAAGTAAAATGTTGCGATCAGCACCCCAGTCGGTGCTGCCGACAACTTTTAAAATATCTAATGCTTTTAAACATTTCGATTTTAACATTTTGATATGGGGTGACTGGGGAATAGAAGTATGGTCACCATTGGTCTTCCTCCGACCGGCAGTAAAACCCGTGCTAAAGTGGGGCGTCCGTTTGGCTGTGCGGGATGTACAAATTTGCAGCCACGTCCGGTCAGAATGGGGACGTTAAATCCGATGCCTCGTGTAAAGAGAGTGCCACGCTCTTTGCACGTTAAGAACCCTTGCAACAACTCTTTGAGGGGTCCGTAGGTGACCTGTTGCAAGGCTAAATTTCTGTCCCTATCCAATATACCCTCATTTCCCGTGGCAGTCTAAATTTCTCCGACCTTAATCCCTTAATCTATCACAGAACCTACCTATTGTATTTATTGTGAACTTGTTCTCGTCCTGAATATGCATGAAATATTTGCCACTGGACGTTAAGCAACCAACAATCAATCAATCAATCCAAGACATAACTGTAATTGTCTTTCTATGTTATTCATATTTTTGCCTCTATAACATATTAAAAAGTCATCAACATACAATGAACCTTCAATATTACTTTTTAAAACTTCAACAAGGCTGTTGATTTTAAGACTAAATAATGTAACAGATAAAATACTGCCCTGAGGGACACCCATCTCTTGATCATACAGATCAGACATGGTTGAATTTACTCTAACATTAAATTGTCTGTTAGATAGAAAATTCGAAATAAAATTTGGCATATTGCCTTTCAACCCCATATCAAAGAGATCTTTTAAAATACCATACTTCCATGCAGTATCATAGGCTTTTTCTAGATCGAAAAAGACCGACACTACATGTTCATTTTTCGCAAAACCATTACGGACAAATGATTCGAATCGAACAAGATGGTCAAGAGTACTGCGACCTTGGCGGAATCCACACTGGATATTGGCTAAAAGCCCATTGGATTCCAGGAACCAAACAAGGCGATCATTGACCATCCGTTCTAGTGTTTTACAGACACAACTGGTAAGAGCAATTGGCCGGTAATTAATAGGATCCGTGTGATCTTTATTTGGTTTTGGAATAGGCACGACGGTTGCAAGTTCCAGATTGATGGTAAATCACCAGATTCCCAGATGTTATTCATAAGCTGCAAAAGAGCTTCCAGCGAGGAATCTGGCAAGTGTTTTAACAGTTGGTAGTGAATATTATCAGGCCCACAAGCTGTATCATGGGCTTTTGACAGAGATGTTTTAAGTTCTTCAAGAGAAAAGAGTTTATTATAATTTTCACCATTTTTTTATTTAAAGTTTAATTTAATTTTTTCTTTTTGTTTTTTAACTTTTTTTAAATCTTCCCTGTAGTTGTTAGAAGAAGAAGATTTCGCAAAAGTTTCACCAAGCTTGTTGGCAATATCCTTTTCAGATGTTAATAAATCATTGCCATTTTTTAAATGTTTAACTGTGGCTTTAGAATTTTTACCTTTTATCTTTTGTATCATGTTCCATACTTTTGTCATCGGAGTGCGAGATGTTATCTCCGAGACAAATTTCTTCCAAGACGTTCGTCGTGCTTGCCTGCAAGTCCGCCGTGCCTTAGCGCGAAAAACACGGAAATTACTCAAGTTTTCCGTCGTTGGTTGTTGATTGAACCGTCTTTCAGATTTTTTACGGTCACCTATTGCTTGATCACAAGCATCATCAAAATAAAAAAATAATGTTTTTCTTCTGAGCAAAATTATGTGTCTCATTCTAAGAAGTCCATCAATTATTTATTCATTGATAAGATATTATTTCAACTTATGATGTTATAAATTAGTTTTAATTTCCAGTTGTCTGCCATTTGCTGAGAATGTGTTTGTCAGTCCAATTTATTTTGTGTACTTTAAGTATCAGACATATTAAAAGTGCTGGAGCTGTAAATCAATATATGGATGCTGCTATATATATAACAATAAGGATCAATATGATCATTCTTTCTCAAAGAGGATATAAATGCAATACTGGATCAATTTTTGAACCAGATTAAAGGCTATTTCCTGTATTGCAGATCACACAAAAAATGTTTTGCTGACCTTTGGACTCCATTTATTTCAGCCGATGTCCCTAAACATTTTGCCAGGTTTTTTTTTTGCCTATAAATAATTTTACCATATTTTCTATATATTTCAGAAATTGGTAATGAAGAAGGCACAAAAGCTACTGATAAATCAGGTACAAAAAATACTCTCTCGCTATTCATTTGTTTTTACCTAATTTATTATTTTATGTCAACAAATAGCTGCTTAAAATCAATGTAAAAATAATATTCAGACAAGTTTTTTGCTCTATCTAACAAGTAGTTGTGAGAAAAGTTAATGTTGAACCCTGTTTTTTTCTGTTTAATTTAAAATGTACCACATTGTAAAACTGCTTTTATTGTAGTTGGAGCATCTAAAAATGGAAAAAATAAGGATAAGGGTGAAAGTCAAGCTACTGTTCCAAGAAACCAAGGTAAGGAAAACAAAATCAGCTTAAAATTTGTGCATGATTATATATTTGTTAAAGTTAAAGACTTTAAATGTTATAAGTACATATATACATATACATGTATGCTTGAGTAATGTTATAGTTTGAAGAAAAATGCTTTTTAAATTAAAATCTAGACTTTCATGACATGCAAACTTACGAGACTTGAGCCATTGAAAAATCAAGGTTATCTTAATCAGTTCAAGGGTTTCTGTTTTACTAATTTTAACTAGCAGTATAATTGTGGTTTTGTCATATCATTGTCTAAAGCATTTGATTTGAAGTTTGATGACTGTCTATCGTAGTTATGTGTGTAACTTTAGTGTATGGTTTCATTTCTTAAATTGTGTCATAGAGTTATACATTTGTAATTATGATACATGCATGTACAAGATCCTTTAATGTCAATTCAACAAAGAATAACACACCATACAAGATGTTATTTTAAGCATAATTTAAGTTATTCACTTAATTTCAGAAAAATCTTCATCAATGCCGAAGCCTCCCACAAAGTTAATTGAAAGAAACGCACAGTGCAAAGAATTGGGTGAGTTTGATAAATAGCTTTAATTAAAATATACATTGAACTAAATTTTTTTGTTAACTCCTGTGAAATATTGGTTGCCACCAGAGATAAAAAAGGTGTATTATTAAATGAATAGATTATTCAAAATGATGCCTAGAGGATTGTGTTTTCTTTTTTGTGGAAGTATGCTGTCTAATGAGTCCATTGCTTTCAAATTATCTTTATGAAAACTAGATCTGGGTATCAGTAAATATGAAGTTGTTAAATTTTCAATCAAAATTACTTCTGTTTACCAAAAATAAATTGGTGGCCCTTTAGTAGAATAAGCCTGTTGAATAAACCATTTTAAGGGTACAGTGAAACCTGACTAAACCGAACCTCTTTGGGACTTGATATGTTGTTCGGTTTTGGCATGTATTCGGTTTAATCAGGTTCATAATGCATAAAATGTGATATGATTGGTCTTCAGAACAAGTTTGTTTTAGACAGGTTTTCGGTTTAGTCAGGGTTCGGTTTAGTCAGGTTTCACTGTACATGTTTGTATCCATACGGGGCCACCTTTAAAAAACTACTGTTTGGTGTTGCCTTATATTATCACAGTCTGTGCCAAAAACTTTTTCATCTACTTGTACGAAATCTAAATATCAAAATTTGTCCCTATATGCCTATATTAAATTTTGGAAATTGGTACTAGTCCAAATCAATATTTACTAGTATGGTTCATAGGACTAGTGGCAACCTCGGAGCAGGAAATAATCTTAAAATTTTTTTTGTGAAGGCTGCTTTTTAGGAGAAAAAGGCATGTTTCGATGAATTTTAATAGAAAATGTTATTTATGACGTAAACTGTTCCTGTTGTCTTTTTTATGTGCTTTTGTTATATGATTGCTTTAAATGGAAAAAGAAATAATTGTTTGCCTTCTTTTTAACTCCATAGTTACAGAGAAGAAGAGTTCCAGTCAGACTTCTAACCACAGAGATTCTAGATCGCCATCAAAAAAATTGAGTTCCAGTCAGACTTCTAACCACAGAGAGTCTAGATCGCCATCAAAAAAATTGAAGTCTACAAATACATTGAAGTCCACAACAAGACCATCTACCAGGCAAGAATCACCACCATTTCGTCAGAAGTCAAGATCTCGATCACCACTTATCACACAGAGGTCCAGATCAAGATCAAGATCCCCACCATTATCTCAGAGGTCAAGATCTAGATCTCCATCAAACAATCAGACATGGAGATCTAGATCAAGAAGCTATTCACCGCCGACAGATATTTTTTCAAAACTAAAATCTATTTATTCCTATTCGTCCAAGTCCACAACAAGATCACCAACAACACAGAATCCATCACAAAGAAAACCGTCAAACACAACTCAAAAATCCACAAGACCTTCAATAGAGGAGATATTACAAGAATTGAAAAAAAGATCCTCACATAGTCTCCATACTCAGAAATCAAAATCTAGTGAAGATAGGTCACATTCAACAGGGAACAGTCAAGGGTCTAGATCTTCCTCACCTCTTGAGGATTATCTACTGCCAAGCTCACAATCTCAACCACAGAGAGTTTCTACCAACAACAACAGAGCAAGGTCTAGATCACCACTAGAGGATTGGCAGTCATTCAGCAGCAACATAAGCTCAAGGTCTCATGTCAGGGAAAATACTTCAACACCAGCTGCAAAAAATATACCATCTGGCAGAAAGACGAGTAACAATTCAGAGACATTTCCAATGTCTGATGAACGTAAGTGTAAATTTACATCTGCATTTCAAAATGATATCACACAAAATTTTGAATCAAACACTAGGAAATACCTTCAACATGCCTTACTATTTTGATATTTACCTGCACCACACAACTACTACTTCAATTGTTGGTTAACCCTAGATGTTTCAGTTTTATTTTGATATTTATTAAGGAAAGGTTTTGAAAATACTAATTTTTTTCTTATGAGAGCTTTCTGCATAGAAATTGTTTTTATGCCCCACCTACGATAGTAGAGGGGCATTATGTTTTCTAGTCTGTGCGTCCGTTTGTCTGTTCATCTGTCTGTCCTGTGTCAGGTTAAAGTTTTTGGTCAAGGTAGTTTTTGATGAAGTTGAAGTCCAATCAACTTGAAACTTTGTACACATGTTCCCTATGATATATTTTTAATTTAAATGCCAAATAAGGGTTTTGACCCCAATTTCATGGTCCACTGAACATAGAAAATGATAGTGCGAGTGGGGCATCCCTGTACTATGGACACATTCTTGTTTACATATAATACATGTCACATTTACACACTTACTATATATATGTATTGAATATACTGGGTATTTAAGACAAGGCATTGTAATGTTGCATTAATCATAGATTGGTTTTATCATTTTAGGTTTCCAGAGAAGAGTATTGTTTTTACTAACAGAAACAAGAGACCTGCTGAAAAAAAATCAGTGTGCCACAACTGCACAGACACACTGTGAACTTGAAAGGGCGGAAACCTTAGAAGAATTTTTTGAATTGGAAAATGCCTTGGATGATGTAGCTCAGCAGACAAGATTGGTTAGTTTTATATTACAGTTTATGTTTTTTTATAAATATAATGTTTTGTTCTGACATATAATATTTAAAAATAATTATCAGAATACATGCTTGATAATGATTCTTTTGAAACTAGACATTTTTACTATGATTCTCCTTTAAATTATTTTATTTGTTTTTATTAGTTTCAGATGAAAATTATGCTTTGCACAGGAAAGTGATACATATTAACAATGATAATTTTTCGGAAAAATAAGCACATAAAGAATTTTAATTTCTCACAGACACATTTGTTGTTTTGAAGGGTCATTGTTAATTTCAGTCAATGCATACAAGTATACAAAAACCATTTTTGTTTATAGACAGAATATTTGAGAAGAATTGGAGGTGCTGGAAGCAGTGACCTAATGAAGAAAGCCATGACAAGGTAAGTTGAAAGAGACTACAATTTATTTACAAAAGTCTGTCGAAAAGATTAAATAATTCTGTTAATGCCAGTTGAAAAAGTAATTCATTGTGTTTAAGGGGCACTAGCTTTGGAGTTTATAAAAATTAAATGATTTTTTTTGGCAAACATTTATGTGGAATTTTAAAATAATATTTCGCTATTAGCAGTCAGTTTGGTTTACATTTTGTCATAATGAGCTAATAAATTCTCTAAATGTATTACTCAATTGAAACTGAATAATTCACTTGTTTAAATTCATATTACTTTGAACTTCAATTTGCCCCTTAACTGGCATTTGTTATGTATGAGCTTAGCAAGTTTAGTTAATATTGAAAAGAAAGAAATATCAACCTTTCAATAGAATGGTCAATTGCACTTCCTTAATTGTCTTTTATTTTGACATATTTTGTAACCAGGTTGAAGAAAAAATGTTATACTGGGTATTTTATTTTAATGTAGTTAGATATTGAAACTGCATATTCACTTTTAATATGTATGCAAATTTTGTTTTTTTTATACCCTGAAAAAACAAAATTTAGGGGATATATATGATAAATATTTCTTGTCAGAATTTCAAGGGAGATAATTGATTTTACTTAGTTAATATTGCAATAAATGGCAACAAGTCTTGTAAGCACAACTACTAACAAATTAATCAATATTGATGAAACTTTACACAGTTGTTGTACACAACCCGAAGATGTGCATGATGGAGGATATTTCTGATCTGATTTTTTTCAAGGGAGAAATTGCAATTACTTAATTTAAATATCACAATATGTGGCATAACGGGATGGGGGTATCCTTAGTGAGTTAACTCATAGTTTTATGCAATACTCTTATAATGCATAATACTATCCACACTCATCTGTGTCCACTTGTTTTTATTAGCAGTAGAAACCTGTATTCAAATATTTAAACTTCAATCCTAAGAAAATGAACTAGGTTGAAATTAAGTGGTCATATTGTATCAGATTTATATTTTGTGTTCCAGAATGATGTCAAACATTGTCATGGCAAGAATGAACCTAAAAGGGAAAAAGAATAAGATAGCTTTCCTAAAAACAAAGCTTTACAAAGTGATCTCAGGTAAGCTTTCATAAATCAATAAACATGACAACATTATTAATTTATAGACATTTTGATTTGCTGAACTTTTTAAAAAAAAACTTTAAAAAAACCATGCATTCAATGGATTGAAACTAGACTTTGAACAGGTGCCAATTCAAAATTAAAAATTGCCACCATGGAAGGTAAAAGTTTTGTAAAGATGATCTATTATCTAGCATTTATATATATATTTTATATTATCTTTTTGATATAATTTGATTATTTTATATATAAATTAAAGAGAAAATAAAAAAAATATTCACTTTATTCAAGTAATTAGTTTATGTTGTTGAACAGGATTTTTTTAGCATTGATATCAATCAAAAATGAAATTAGTTGCAAGCTTACTTACAAACTCCAAGGAATATTATTTGAATTGTAATTTGGGCTTCTTATTTTTGATAAATAAGTGTAAATAAGTATGTGATGATAGAAGGGTTAGCAATTTCAGGCTCTTAGGGACTTGATGGGTGCTTTGAATGTGACCTGTATAGAAACAAATTGAAATTTCAACAAAATGTTTTCAGCCTGGTGGCATATTTCTATCTAGAAATTGTTATAAATTTATTGCAAGGAATATAAATTATAAACAATGATATTTTTCATTTATTTTACTCAATGTATGTTTTTTACCAACTAATTCTAAACTTCACTAGAAGCCTTACAGTAAGCTTTATTTGCATCAACCCTCCATTTTCAGCAAAGTACTTGTTGTGTTATTTATATTTTATTGAGTGTGCAAAGTTTTGGCAAATGACACTGTTCACAATAATTGATTTGAAGTATACATATTTTAAGACTTACCATGATGTATATGTGTTTACAGGATGCGTAATGATGGTGTATCCTGAGATCACAGAAACTAAAGTAAAGGAAGATATTGGGAAGTTTTTAAAATATGCCCCCGGGAGAGCTGGAGGAGGGGGAAGGACCAGCAATGATTAATCCAAATTACAAAAATAAATTCAATTTTAAACAAATTTATTGCATTCATTTCACTTACTTCAATCAAGAAAGGTGTCCAAAATTAGAGCAGACATCAGTGAAATTCTGAAAGAACTTATTTTATCAGTTCACTATTTCTGTGTGTAACTACAGTTACAGAAAAATACTCAAAACTTGATTTACCGACGATAAATTACTGTTTGCTGCTTAAAATAAATAACCTCAATTCAGACCGACTTAAAGGCGGGTCAAGCCTGAATCCTCAGATTTTCAAACTGAAAAGGGCATCCGACTTATAGGCAGATTGACTTATAAGCGAGTATCTACAGTAGTTTCTTTGCTAGCTGAACCGTGAAGTCATTACTAGCTCGGATTAATACCTCCTTTGGGCGGAGTCTAGTCAGTCAGAGAACCAATAAAAAAGTGTAAACATAAACATTGTACTACAGTTTTACCTATTTAGAATCCACATGCAAGACTCATTCCATATTTGGAAGGTGTACATGAGCTAATAATGACTTTGTGGTTCATGTAGCATTGAAGCTAATCAAACAGTTTGGTTTTACCTACACTTTAAGTCCGATGGCTGTAATAGGTATTTTTTTATTTCTCATTTTATATATAGATGAGACTCTTGGTTTTCCTGTTTGCATTGTTTAACACTGATATTTTTGCCTTGATAGCTTTCTGTTGTGTGAGCCAAGACGTCTTTTCCTGTTGAAGGCAATTATTAACCTATAATTGCTTACTTTAACAAAGTTGTGACTTGGATGGAAAGTTAGTCTCATTAGCATTCATACCACATCTGATTTATACTGTTCATCTTAATCAACTGTTTTCCTTTTCATCGATTATTCAATTTCAGTCAGTCTACCAAAAATCAGCCTTGTTGAAACCTTGAAATAATTGTTATTTACATATTGTCAACCAAAAATCAACCTTATTTCAACGTTGAAATATGATGTTGTTTCAACGTCAACCTTTCAACCTATTCTCAACCAAAAATCAACATTGTTTCAACGTCGAAATATGACGTTGTTTCAACGTCACCTTTTCAACGTCATCTCAACTTTCAAAATCCACAGTTAAATCAACGTCATTTCAACGTTGAAAGTCGACGTTATTTCAACGTTGAAACAACGTTGAAATGCCTGGTGGGTCATTATCTTCCTTAAGATGCATTTGTCATTTGTGACTTAACTTCCCACACCACCAACGACAAAATTAGTTTTCATTTACATGAGTGCAAAAAGTGAAACTCTGACGGGTTGCAAACATTACATATACTAGTGACAAGAAACAAACAATACATGTTAAAATGTTAAACAAGTTAAGTTGATAATAATATATATATATATATATAATAATATAAAAAAAGATCTAACATTGTGGGGCTGATGTTTAGACGAATTATATAATAATATAAAATATATAATGTCTAAAAATAGCGACAATCAACATCCAATCTATTTAGGCGTGGATCAGTTTGTGAAAATAAACTGATGCAGTTACATCATTAAAATTATATAAATGTCTAAGAATATAACCTTAACACGTGTGTAACATTGTGGGGCTGATGTTTAGACGAATTATATAATAATATAAAATATATAATGTCTAAAAATAGCGACAATCAACATCCAATCTATTTAGGCGTGGATAGTTTGTGAAAATAAACTGATGCAGTTACTGAATTAAAATTATATAAATGTCTAAGAGTATAACTTAAACACGCCAATTAATACATTAACATAAATTCTCTATAAGGATCAACCAACAGCTGGCCACTTGAAAAAATAATATGACTGGAAAAAGGATTTTTTAGTACAAGCTTGTTGTGTTATAACTAGAAAAAAACAAGAACTGTTGATTCTATTTCAAATTCTTTATTGTTGCTATGGACAGGGCTTTCCCTAGCAACCATGACACAAAATAAACTCGAAACTGACATTCTAAATATAGTTTAACTCAGATTTTAATGCAATCAAGGTTAATTTCAAAACATCATTGAAGAATAACATAATACGCCTAATAAAAAAACATTAAGATACTTTGCAATATGTGATATCTTATTTGAGTATGCATGGCGCAAAGTTTGGTCCTAAAGATTATGTTGAATTTAGCTGAAATTGGTCAAGTTTGGACCCTCAAAACTTTTTTTTGCAGAAATGTAGACTATAAATGACTTTAAGCTAACTATGGTCTATACATCTATGAATAAAAACTTTCGGGTCATTAAACAGATTATTTAGGAATATGTTGTAAAAAAAGGTATTCTACCCCCCTTTTTTTCACAAAAACATGAATTTACTATCAACATAAAATTGATTGATTGATTGTTGGTTGCTTAACGTCCAGTGGCAAATATTATCAACATAAAAAGCTTTTGGCACATTTATAAGCAATTCTTCAAATATTACTCCATGGTACTGATGGTTCTGATCTAATGGTATAATAATTGTATAAGTTTATGACCCTGACCTATTACCCTGATGTAATTTTATTTAAATTTACTCTCCGATCTCCTCCAAATTTGTTTTTACTGACTATGCACTTAATCAAATTTCAAATACATGACTCATTGAAATTTATTTTCCAATACTACTATTCCATACATACAGTATTTATTCCAGTTATATAATAATATATATGTGTGTGTATACATGATCCAAGAAAATGAGGCCAAGGTCAGATAAACCAAACCAGAAATACAAGCATTCCATACACCAAATATTTATGTTTCCCCATCTTTGAATTCAAATTTAAAAACTATTAATTTGAGATAAAAGTAACTCCTTAACAAAAGAAATCTGATTTCTAAACTTAAAACTTTTAAAATCTGTCTCAAACTGTAATTTATAGTACAAAAAGACCTTACATTAATTTTTATAAGTGTTTTATCTATGATGTTGATAAAGAATACAGGGTAGCTAAATATTTACATTGTCCACCTCAACATCAAAATTGATGGTTTTTACCCAAAATATTGTGTATTGAAGATCTTATATTAGAGTATACAAAAAATAACAATAAATTGTCTCAAAATAAAAAAAAAATATTTGTAATAGTCTCACTTCAATACAGGATAGAATTACTAGGAAAAGCCATGCAATCTACCAAGCCTTGTTCAAATTTTATATTTCAAGACAGATATAGGATCCTTTCTTTCCAGTTGTTTCTCCTATGTTAAATTTTTCATCTAAATACAGTTTTTGCTCCTTGCTAAATAAAGTTGGTGGCTTTCTGGTCTTCAAAGCCCAACCCTCTGGAATATTTTCTTTACCAACAACAGTTTCAAATGACAAAAAATACATTTTCTCGACTTTACTTGTGACTTTTGTTAAGTACATTTTTTGTCATGTCAAGAGTAGGCTCATTTTTCAACTTGAATTTACAGTTTCCAATTAAAAGATGGTCGTCCAAATTTTTATGTTTGATAAAACTTTTGACACACCCATTCAACAGGGTAACACAACATTCCTCCCTCATTTGGACTGTTCTCTTCATCACCAACTGCCTCCAGATTTTGATCCACCTCCTCCTCACTGAAATGTTCTTCCTCATTGTTACTTTCCCTTAAGCCCTGCCTGGCTTCAGAATATTTGAGCTTAATATCAGTAAAGGTGATGTTTTAGAGAAATAAGTAAATTTTAAATACACTGACATTTTCTTTGTAGTCATAGATTTGTGTCCATATCATCAGCTTTCCTGCAAAAAAAAAACAAACAATGAAATATTCTAGTTCATTTACATACATAAGTCTAAATTGAAAACAACGTTCAAACCTACGATTGCGTTGGATAAAACCGCAATGTTTATATGTGTGCATGCTAAAAAATGGAGGGGTCTAAATACAGCACAAACAAAATTTTCCAAAAGACCAAAAAAGTGAAAAAGTATATTTTGATATCTATAGTACAAGATTTCTATCTAAAGGCGTTTCCTGAACTTAATAACTAGTTTTCCTTTTTATGCTTCAAAATGCCTACACTGAACTCTTTATTGTCACCTAAGGTTGTGAATCATGACAGAATTGCAGGTATTTCAATAAACATGATAAACTCGAGGTAAAAATATTGAGCAAAATAAAAAACTTTTATCTACCTATCTTCTATTTTGGAGGAAAATCTAAACTAATTGTTATTTTGTTTTGCCTGAGGATGTAGCACTTAATACAAACATATTACACTCAAACACACTAATCTACTCTTTGGTCGGGTTGTTGTCTCTTTGACACATTCCCCATTTCCATTCTCATTTTATTACATTCTATATATTAGTGTAATCCGTTGTTTGTTGTTGTTAATGTTGCTGTCAGCCAAAATAGTTTATTTAATGATCGAGCATAAATTTATCCTCTGTTTTGAAATGTTTCACATTTTGTAATCCACAGACCTTTGTAGCTTACTATTTGGTTTTGCGCATTGTAGAAGTTTTTGTTGATGATAGAATCAACAGAACATAGTTTTTATCAATATTAGTTACCTTTTCCAATCCCATATGCTTTCAAAACTGTCAAACCATGTTGAGAATAACAAGCATTCTGTGAGTATTGCATGGCAATACATAGTCCCCAACGGTTAAAAATTCATTATATTGGAACAAATTCTAACTTGGTCTATAACTTGTCATAGTGTAAACTGTATAAAAAATATCAATTCAATATCTTCAATCATTATAACAAAAAGTGTTGAAAACTGATTATTTAAGTAAATTTTCTAGGTCCAAGGAATATACCGTTACTCTGCACAAAATCATCAGACCGGAACAAAATTCAAAATTGATCTGAAACTTGTCATAATTAAACTATATACCAATTTCAAAATAATTATCTTCAAGCTTGATACAAAAAAGTGCGGAAAACTGATTATTTGAGTAATTTTTTTAAGTCCAAGGACCATAACTCTGCATAAAATCATCAGACCAAAACAAAATTTGAACTTGATCTGTAACTTGTCATGATAAAACAATACACTAAATATCATATCAATATCTTCAAG